GGAGAAATAGTGGGGGAGATGAGAAGTAGGGAGGAAGGAGAATATACTTATAAGACTCTGAACGCTATATGTGTATTTGCACTGCTATGCCTATGCATTGACTATGTGAACGTATTTTCTCGATGATTTAATACTCTTAATACACTGGTGGAGAATTGTGTCCATCACAATATGGTAAATATGTTTTTGACGCCGTGATGACATGTTTTATCACACTTCATGGAGTATGTTTCCACATCGTGGTAACTGCGTTGATCTCCGGTATAAAATATTTCGATACGTTTTATTGCTGTAGTGTGAAAACGCTACGACAGTTGGCATGCTTTTAACACACAGCGGTTTTTTAAATTTTATTCGTAATATTTTTAAGGGGAGGGCTTGTGAGAGCTCGGGGTTCTCGCATTTATCTTCTACATGTACCTCATTTTAATTCATTTTATGTAGTCTGGAGCCCCCCCCCCCTCCTCCCCCACCCGCCCTCCAGAACCGCCACTGACCGTAGCTGATCGATTCCTCTAGAAGGATGTCTATGGTTGATTTCCCTCGGGACGGCCGAAGAAAAAAAATCGTGTCATTTTGACAATAAATACAAGCTATTTGTACAGCTGGTGGTTGGAAGATAGTACCTGGGGCAAGGACGCGGACGGGTGACTACCCCTATGGGTGGTGTGTTGATGTGCTGGGGAAAACTTAGTGGTAATTATTAGTTTTATAAGATGATGACGTGGATCCTAATCATACGATTGGTTGAAAGCGTCCACGTGACATGGCGTTTATTTTGCCTAACGCTTAATTTGGATAATGACCGGCCATTATCCAATGGTAAAATCCAATTTTATAAAAACAAATGAAATATAATCTTATAAAAAAAATAGTACACCCCATTTTGTTCGGGCATTAGCAAAATTACCCACAATCTGTAACTTCAAAACAGTCCAAACACTGTGTTAGTCCGTTCCAAATGTACCTCTTGTGGGTAATTCACACTAATGCCCTCAATGCTATATTACTTTCTTTCGTTGCCGCCGGGGCTGTATGTAACGAAGCACATAACAAAATTCAATGCCGAAAAAAATATATAGTTTAAACGTCATCTTGAATTCAGTTTGACGTGTTTGCCTAGAAAATTAAAAAGAAATAATCAAAACAAAATCAACAACAAAAAATAAACAGACTAAAAAATATAGCTGCTTTTATTATAATCAATTTCTTCTTGATAATAAAAACAAAGTCTAAGACCATCTTGAAGTAAACATCTGTTATACCTCTTCCCTTTCTCTCTCTTTTCCCCATCCCTCCCTCCTCTTAGGGTATTCTAAGATAAGCAAATAAATTTGAAGAAAGTCCGAAACATATACGCGTTTCAAAACATCTTGGCGTTTATCATCTCTCAGAAACATGATTCTGGCTCATACGCGTATCAAAACGCACCTTTTTCAGAGTATCTAAAGACGTATGAAAACGTGCTTGCATGTATTATGTTTAGCTTGTGAATAAAGTGTGTGCACCGGTACTCTTCGAATCGATTTTTCCTATGCATTCCATAATTAATTTCGCAATGTCTTGCTCTCTGTCATTTAGAAACGAAGAATCTACGAAGATAATGACAAATGGAAATTTAGACCAAAGGCAATCAGATAGAGATAAAAGAAACTAGTAACTAGACAGATAGACTGATCCGTTGATAGATAGATAAAACGATGAATAGATAACTAAATAGAAAGGTAGATACATAGATAGATAAAGGAGGGGGAAAAGAAGAAGAAGAATATAAAGAATGATGATGATTATCGTGACGATGATGAGAATGATTGCGATGATGAGGATGAGGACGATGGCGATGATGATGATGGCGATGAAAATGATGATTAATAGCATTTATATCACACCATATTCTTGTAAAAATAAAATAAAAAACATACAAAAGTGCAGGCACCTCTATATGAGTCAATATTTTCACATTTGCTGAATTAGGTAAGTTTTAAGGCATGGTTTCGGGGACTATCTAGATAATTTGATAGATGGCTAGATGGTCAGAGAACCATGGAAAACAGACATATACCCAATGGATATAGAACAGATACTCAACAGAAATGTTAAAATCATGAAATACAACAGTTTTTTTTTTTAATCGAGGAAAAAGATTCGTAGGGCTATGGTAAAAATTGTTTCATTTGTTTTGTTGATACCATGTTTACGTTTCCCCAAACAAAATCATGTTTGTGGTAAATCGAAATGAAATATTAAACTTTCATCGTATTGACAGTTTCCTTTCCTTAATCTGGCCAGAAACCGCGAAAACAGCCCTATTTCAACTCCCATCTTCCCGCTGTATATACTTGTTAATTCAATGAACAATCCTGCAGTATATCCCTTGTGGGTTTTTAAGGTCTCGTGACAATTTCCAAGAAATTATACGGTAGTTTCTAGGCCTACCCTTCTAATGTTTTGTGTACACGTCGCATATTGATGTACTTAAAGATTTAAGCTGTTCCAAAAGTGGATTACCTAGGAAATGTCAACATTCCTTTTGTTTAATATGAGATTTTGCAACGTTTATGTGAGGTTTTGCAGCCATTAATGATGATAATTTGGTTTTATTTACCCAGGGTAGCCACGTCAGTATAAATACTGGTCTTTTTGTGGGCCTTGAAAGTGCCAGGCACCCATTTACCGTGTTTACACGAGGTTGGTGAGTGGCAAATGCGGATTATTTTTTTGACTAAAGGCGGTATTGGCAGCCTCGGATTCGAACCCTCAACCCACGGATTGAGAGTCAAGTGAGTGAACCATTACGCCACGACACCTCCATAAATCTTCAGGAGTTGGAATGTGTTTAAAATTGTGGGGGCATCGCCCAAAAGGGCACTTTAAATGATACCATATACCATCACCCCTGATCAAGAACCGAAATTATTTTAACAACTTGATTATTGCTTTATCTTCTTTATGATTTACTTTAATTAGGTACGGATACATAATCATTTGCTTATTTCACTTTTTCCATTCAATTGGGTGGAGGGGGGGGGGTGCAACTCTTCCCACTTCCATATATATATATATATATATATATATTACTTCTTGCATATCTTTCTTTCTAGCGTCATTTATGTTCTCGGTGGCAAAATATTGTCGATCTGGGATATAAAGCAAATAATCACCTCCTTTACTTGAGTGGACAAACTTTCCTCGCCTCGCCGATCCCGGGGGCTATACCATACTAGTCGGTTCCGGTAATTATTTGCCGACTATCTCATAAAATTGTAATTCCAATTTCATTTCCGTTACCTTAGCTGACTATTACCCTTAATGACATCCTAGAATATGGATGCAATTTTAGTACCCATGGTAACCAATATTTAATGGGCAATCGAGCCTGCATCTTCCCGTCATAACCGTGATAACTCGAGACTGAATTGACCTTTCTGAGAATTACATCACACCCCGGAGTAGTGTAAATATTTATTAAAACGTTAGTGAAAGGCGAAATATAGGACACAGCATCGGGAAAAGCACAACAGGGGAAAGAAATCAATTTGTTATGATGAAAATGATGGTGATGATGAAAGCAACAATGTGTGCGCGTTTGTGTGTGTATGTGTGTGTGCGTGTGTGTGTGTGTTTGTGTATGTCTATTTTGTATAGACTATTTGCTAACTCAAGTAAGGCTGTCGTAAAATTGATAGGATTCGTACTCCATTTTTTAAAAAGAGATGTAAACTGATAACTCGAATAAGAGCAGTAGCGATTCTAAGAGGATGGGAAGTGGGAGGGGGGGGGGGTTAAAGCCACCCATTTCTATCAGTTATTGAATGTATTGACATAAAATAAGCATACATTTTGTTGAAGCATAAAGACTAAAATATTCTGGATTTCGTAAATTATATTGAAAGATTGTTTTCTGCTCTTTCAAACAAAGACATTTCCTTGTATTGCACACACCCACATACACAGACACGCGCGCGCGCGCGCACGCACTCACACACACACACACACACAAAAAAAAAATCAGGTTCACATCTACATTATTTTACAATATGTTTTGAAATTCTTATGCGGAATGTCATATCATGAAAGAGCTGGTGGGTGAAACACGAGAAAAATATTCTTGTATATATATCTTCTTCTAAGAGATCCATTAATTAACAATTCTTAATATTTCTGCTTCATGCTCATTCCCCATCTTCCTAAATGATGATCAAATGCAGTATTAGAGCTCCCCTTATTTCCATTTAGATTGTAATTTCAACTCCTACTTGAAAAAACATAAATTTGGCTGTTCATCACAAGCAAGCTTTAAGAGGAAAAACTATACGCCGCTGGAATGCTGTATATTGTATATTTTTGTATATTTTTATGTTTAATGGTGCTGCCTGTCAAGCGTATGAATGTATCCAGTAGATTTAGATTTACTTCACATTGTTGTTGTTTATTTTTGTTTGTAAGTTTGTGTACTTTAATATAGTTTTTCTTCTCCATGCGCCTCGAACACATTAGTCATGTGGAGTTGGCGCATTAATACTCTATATTGTTATTATTATTATTAATTTTATTTGATGTTTACATGACTAATCCTGTATTTTAACCATCATGATTTATTTTACCTTGTAAATGACCCGCAATTCAGCTTCGGTTGCTAGAACGTCATGTGAATAAACCCTTATTGAATTGAATTGAATTGAATATACTTTCTCGATACGCTGATTGTCAAGATCTTTGTAAGACATGGACTCATTCTTCGACTCCTGGTTATACACAGCATAGAGGAACAAGTGAAACGCATTATTCAAAATTGGGAATGGTTGTGAAAGTTATTTAAATGATTACAATGTTGGCCTAGAGTTTAAGGGAAAATCGGTGAAGGTCATAATCAACTGTAACGATTTGTGACAGGGAAAGTCAAGTTTCTTTTATCACCGAGGCATGATTATTCTCCCCCACTTTGGACATTGAAATTATCTACATATTTTCCCTTTTTTTTCTTCTTCAAACGCAGCATCTTTCTTCCTCGACGAGAACTTGATTGACCTTTAACCCCTGACCCCAAGGCACCAGGAGGATACTGGGATTACTTCGAGGGAGGAACATGGAGGCCCTAACGGTACCACCTTTGCCCCCTATGCCACCGATGGGGAGGAAGAGGATCACAACAAGGGGCGGGGTCCCGCAATTGACCACCAAAAGCTCGACAGATCTACTCCCGATCGAAATGCGACTGGGGACAAGTAAAGATGCTGTAAGTTTGATTTAATGTTTTCATTTCTATTAGGCCTACTATTACTGGATTTTATCTAGGTCTATCTTCTGAGTGACGCTTATCTCACCTTCTATTTTCTAGCTGGTAGTTTTCAACGTCATGCATTTTGCCAGTGTGCTGTGCCAAAGGGCTAAATATTTCACTATTCCTAAGGACTTCATTTTATTTTATGTCGTTGCATTTAATTTCATTTTATTTAATTTAATTTTATTTCATTTTATTTTCCTTTCTTTTCATTTCATTTTATTTCGATTTATTTCATTTCTTTTCATTTCATGATTCATACTTGATTCGCACTCCTTTTCTGGTCATTACAGCAAAAACACTAACTAACCTCGGCTGCACCTTATATATAAAAAATGGAAGGAGGAAGAAGGCAAGAAGAAGAAGGAGAAGGAGAAAAGAGGGGATAGAGAAGTAGAAAGTTAGCTCGATTTGCGTAAAACGATGATATCTGGGTTAACTAAACACAACCATTGCCTGTATCCTAGAGTGTATAGATGTATATATCGCTTCTATTATTGGGAAAAGATCGCCAGAAGAAGAGGAATGAGAAGGAGAAGGAGAAAGTTATCTCGCTTTGCGATAAACGATGAAATCAGGGCGTAAACTAAACACACCTATCGCCCGACTATCCTCGGGTGTATAGGTGTATATATCGCTTTTATTATTGAAAATAGATCGCCAGATTCCCCACTTTAGATTTATGTGGATCACATTATAATAACGATCTATCAACCTGGCTTATTATGCAACTAAGTCACTGACAAGCGAGGTTAGGAGATTGCATAATGGAATATAAAACCGTTATAACGAACAGGTTTTGACAGTAACAAATTGTTTATCAATATGGATTGCTAAAGAAAAGGTGATGGTAATTTGATTTGCATTTAAAGACATACTAGCGAGACTTTTCATATTCATTTCTTCACAAATCGTTCACACCGGGCTTGCTTGGAAGGGGAAAAATATCGTTGTTGGCATGGTCGGTGTTCAATAAATTTGACCCCTTTTTGTTAGAAATAAAAATGGCGTTCTTAACCAACTCAACGAAATGTCAAAGGGTGAGATGGGGTGGGGTGGGGTGGGGTCGGGGTGTAGTTTGTCCGCAAAACTTCTCCCCCGTCTCATGGTCTCGCTTTCTCTCTCTCTTTCAAAATATGCAACCCCTACCTCTTTCTGAAATTTTTAAATCGGCAATCGAGTTGTTTTTGTTTTAAAGATATCACTTGTTGACGATTAACAAATTTGAACGCGCCCCGAGCAATACGAAGGTACACCAATTTCTCGACGATGAGCATGCGCATTAAGTTCGCGATTGCAACGCGGTATAGGATATTGGTACCCAGTAGACTCCGCTCGGGGCGTTCGCAGCGAAATAAATCCTCACCCATCATTCATGGAGTCGAAATTAAATATTGAGGGATTAATATTTTGACAGCCACCAGAGTCGGGTTATGCTAAATCCCGAGGGATGGGTTTCTGTTGATAGCTTGGGTTCCTATAGGCGATTACGGATGGAAATCAAACTAAGGCCGACACTATAACTCAATTGGTTAAAGTGGTGTCACAGTTGGGAAAAAGGTCACGATAATCAAATATAGGCAGAGAGAGTGAGAGAGTGAGAGAGAGAGAGAGTGGGGAGAGTAGGAGAAGAGAGAGAGAGAGAGAGAGAGAGAGAGAGAGAGTGGGGGAGAGTAGGAGAAGAGAGAGAGAGAGAGAGAGAGAGAGTGGGGGAGAGTAGGAGAAGAGAGTGAGAGAGAGAGAGTGGGGGAGAGTAGGAGAAGAGAGTGAGAGAGAGAGAGAGAGAGTGGGGAGAGTAGGAGAAGAGAGAGAGAGAGAGAGAGTGGGGGAGAGTAGGAGAAGAGAGTGAGAGAGAGAGAGTGGGGGAGAGTAGGAGAAGAGAGAGAGAGAGAGAGAGAGAGAGAGAGTGGGGGAGAGTAGGAGAAGAGAGAGAGAGAGAGAGAGAGTGGGGGAGAGTAGGAGAAGAGAGTGAGAGAGAGAGAGTGGGGGAGAGTAGGAGAAGAGAGTGAGAGAGAGAGAGTGGGGGAGAGTAGGAGAAGAGAGAGAGAGAGAGAGAGAGAGAGTGGGGGAGAGTAGGAGAAGAGAGAGAGAGAGAGAGAGAGAGTGGGGGAGAGTAGGAGAAGAGAGTGAGAGAGAGAGAGTGGGGAGAGTAGGAGAAGAGAGTGAGAGAGAGAGAGAGTGGGGGAGAGTAGGAGAAGAGAGAGAGAGAGAGAGAGAGAGAAAGAAAGAAAGAAAGAAAGAGGGGAGTATAGGTAAGAAAGACAGAGGGAGAGTGAGGGAGAGAATGCTACATGCACGACAGCATGGTGGGTGATTGAAAACAAGAGGAGAGAAAATTAGGAAAGAGAAGAATAAGATGACGAAAAAATAACCAAGTCAGATGGAGAAGGGAAACAAATGTAATAGAGATAGGGATAGGGAAAGTAGGAAATAGATCAGAGGAACGAGCCACAATGAACGAGACAAAGAAAGAGAAAGGGAGAGGGAGAGAGCAAGATGGACAGAAAGAAAGAAAGAGAGAGAGAGAGATAAGGAGGGGTGGGGTCAGTGATCCTAAAATCTAAAAGATTCGATGATTTGAAATCCTTCTTCATCTGTCGCTATATAACTTAGTCTACACATCTAGCAAAGATACACATCTAGCAAAGATACACATGCTTATCTTTGTTAGATATGGAGTTAGTCGAAATGTTTTTGGATCTAGGTGTAATTTATAAACCAACTCTTTACAAATTGTATATCTAAGACCCTCTTTACAACCCATATGTAAAGGTTTCGAGGTATAGGGGTTCATTAACTTGACTCTCAATCCAGGGGTTGAGGGTTCGAACCCCTGACCGGTAGGTCTACTGAATAACGTCAATTGGCAAGACTTCCACACTTCCCAATACCCCGCATGGTGTCAATGGTTACCTGACAATTGCTGGGATAATAGTAATTGAAGTGCCCTCTAGAAGAACAGCATTGATTCTAAGAGCAAAGACAAACTGCATGTTGCCATTATTTTAACATGTTTAGTTTTTATGAAACAATAATATACAACTTGCGTGTAGAGTGGCTAGCAGAAGGGCTTTAGCAAGTGCGCATGCCATAAAGCAAACGTTATGGTTACTTGCTTCTATAAACACTAAGAAATAAGGGTACGATTCTGCTTCAATTATATAGCAGAACACTCTGCTACAATAGCAGCACCCTCTGCCAAATACGCGTAGGTGGATGAAAATCTTTACCCAATAATTGCACCCTTATTTGTTTATTGTGTAGGGTTTTGAGTGCTCTATGCATGTTCTATAATCTTTAAACAGGAAAAGGATTCTCTCTTCATTTAAATACAAATTTGAAAAAATGAAAATGGAAGGTAACTACCTAATCCGAGTAGTTTCGTATCAAATAAGCACATACGTTCCCCCCTTCTTTTTGTTAAGTTTCGGGAATTTTAAAGCTAACCATCTTCTGCTTAATGCAATAAGGCGCACCCATGTTTATCAGGACAACACGCCCTTCTGCATGCCGCACTGCGGGGCGAGGGTGATTAGTAGAGTGGTCACAGCTTGATCTCATCTTCAATCTATCATTGATGAGGAGGTTGCCATGGTGATCACGCACTGATTGTCCTCCTCTTCACCTCTACGTCACGCATCGTTTCACCCGGGGTGCGGATCCGGGATATTTTGGGAAAGGGGGGGGGGGGCACAATTCTTAAAATATACGCGATTATAGAGGCAGTGTTTTTTCTTTCACAATAATTACGTTAAGCTTTCGGTAACCCTATATTCTAGGCAACGGTGCCGATATCTATTTTGTTGGTAAAGAGCATCCAATCAAATCAATTTCACAATTTGCTTCGCAATAAGCGTTGACGTGGGTGGTTAAGAGAATAAATGAACATGAACCTGGAAAGCTGGTGCTTTAGACGAAAAAATGCATCGACACTATTCTTTGACTTCAGCCGTCCATATGGTGTCACCGAAATAATAATCGTGAAGGCTTTCTCATTGACCAGGAAACCTACAGAGTAAATGTACAATTTTTCTTGTATGCGTGTGTGGATGCGTGTGCGAGTATGCTGACAATGGCAAATTTAGTTTTGTTAAAAGGGCGGGGGAAGGGGACAGTCTGCTATGATTGTGGTGCAACCCTCTAGATCTGCCATTTGTTTAACCTTTCTCTCTCTCTTACGGGAGTCTGTTTTTCCCACTGACCTATTTCTAGCAGGAAAGATATCTGTTTTGGGCTAAGTAATCATCCCTAACGCGAGAAAAACATCGTTTAAATAGGACATTGCGAATTTAAAACTATTATTATGTAGGCTATGACGCACAATCTTCCTTTTTGTCTCGCCTGCGTAGCAAAAAGTGAGACATAGGCGCCGCTTTTTCGGTGACGGCGGCGACGGCGACGGCGACGGCGGCGTCAACATCAAAAACTTAACCTAAGGTTAAGTTTTTGAATTTTTGATATAATTTTTAAAGTTTAGGTTCTTAGTCAATGAAACTTTGACCATAGGGTAATCAAGTATCCCCAATCATGTGAGTAGAATTTCAGATCACAAAGTCAAGGTCAAAGGTCATTTCAGGTCAACAGACTTGGACTATGTTGTAGCAACATCATTGAAAACTTAACCTAAGGTTAAGTTTTTGAATTTTTGATATAATTTTGAAAGTATAAGTTCTTAGTCAATGAAACTTAGACTATAGGGTTATCAAGTCTCCCCAATCATGTGAGTAGAATTTCAGGTCACTAAGTTAAGGTCAAATGTCATTTAAGGTCAACAAACTTAGACTTTGTTGTTGTATCAACATCAAGATTTTCAAAATGCTTCTTCTTCGTTATTTTTCAACCGATTTTGATTCTGATTGTTTCATATCATAGGGCTAGGAGGGGGATTTAAAATTTCTACACAGAATCGTGAAATTCATTATCTATGCTAATTCATGCAAATTTATTCGAAATCACAAAAATGCTTAATCGGGAGTGCCAGGAGGGTCAAATCTGACTGACATGAGCGCTATACAAGAACCCACTATTATTATTATTATTTCTTCTCTTTCATTTCTCGACCGATTTTGATTTGGTTTGCTTTATCTGGTAGAGCTAATTTTGGTACACTAATCTTATACACCAGATATTGAAATTGTTCTCAATTAATTAATTATGGTAATTTATGCAAATTGATTCCAAAATAACAAAAATTGCTTCTTCTCCCTCATTTCTTGACCGATTTTGATTTGATTTGCCTTATCTGGTAGAGCTAAATTTGGAACACTAAACTTCTACACAGAATTTTGAGATTTTGCTCCATTGATTAATTATGGTAATTTATGCAAATTTATTCCAAAAATCACAAAAAATGCTTCTTCTCCTTGATATTTCGACCGATTTTGATTTGGTTTGCTTTATATCGTAGAGCTAAATTTGGAACACTAAACTTCTACACAGAATTTTGAGATTTTGCTCATTGATTATTTATGGTACTTTATGCAAATGAAATGAAATTATGTCCCTTCCAGGGCATCAAATTTTTATTTTTTGACCAGTTCAAAAGTGTACCACATAAAATTTACGATATTTGTTGTTGCGAGACGCGGATGAGCGCTACGTCATTGACGTTCTGGTTTATCATATTGAATTGCGTTATGCAGGCGAGACCGCCGAGAGCGTTTCCCTTGTTTTTCTTCTTCCATTTTCATGCGAAATTTATAATAGAAAGATAGATAGATAAATGGTTTATTTATTGATTTAAAAATTAAACAAAACAAAACAAACATCGTTGGGGCAAAGCCGACTTGAGATCACTTTACAATTACAGATTGCATGTAAACAAAGGTCATTAGCATTGACAAAAATAACATAGAACAAATTATAATCAACAATGCTAGAGTTCGTACCAAAAAGGGTAATTTGCATTGACAAACAACACATAGCCTAGTCATCAACAAATTACCTTTAATTTGTAATTTATTATCTCAATTTGTTTTGTATTAAACTTATAATAACATTTGATTCGATATGTTCTTTTGACAATGTTGATAAATATCTTATAAGCAATTTTAATATAGTATATATTGTCTCCTCTTCGATATGATATAGGGATTGGAATTGTGATGGAAGTCATACACACACACGCGCGCGCACACACACATCACCATCCTGGCTAGCTGTATAGACAGGAAAGTCCGGGGGGGGGGGGGTGTTTCACAAAGATCCTAAGTTGAACTTATCTCTAAGTTGGACTTAACAATTATGGAAAGCCATTAGCATCTATGAAAATATTTTGTAAAAGTTATTTTAAAAGGCATAAAATGTTGATTTAAATCATTAACATTTTCTGTTATCAAGGAGATTTCATAATCTTGATGTGGAATTTATGAAGAAAAAAAATTTATGAAAAAATACTTGAATTTTGCTTTTCAATATATTTTAGTTTAAGGCTACAAATGGCTATCCATAACTTTTAAGTCCAACTTAGAGTTAAGTTCGACTTAGGATCTTTGTGAAACACCCCCCTGCTTTCATGCTCAAAGCAGTCAAGGAATTCATGTATCTACAGGTAGTACTCATTTAAAACCTCGTTGGAGGAACTATTATCATAATCGGTGTAATTATTAGGTCCTGTCATTATTGGTGTTATTGTTTTAATTATTATGATTACTAATAATTAAAACAATAACACCAATAAGGACAGGACCTAATAATTACACCGATTATGATAATAGTTCCTCCATACCGAGGTTTTAAATGGGTACAACAATTATTACAATTGTTATTATCATTATTATCAACATCAATCAACATCATCATCATCATCATCATCATCATCATCATCATCTTCATCTTTTCTAAGCACGTTTAATAACTATATAATAGATTCTACATTTTTTGTTTGCTTTTTCTTTCACCTTCCTGCAATTTCTAGCAACCGGCGGCTATCGTCAAACAGCGCCAAGTCCTACGCCTGGAGGTGCCCGGTGAACCGACCCGCAGGAAATCGTCCACGGACATAGAACACCAGCGACGGGCTGCAGAACTGCACTTCGAATCAACGTCTCTGGTGGAGGGCGGTATTTACATCAGATGTACGGTAAATATTGCTTCTCAGAATAAGGATGGCAATAATAAAGAAAAAATAGATTCATAATTTTAAAAGTGAGAATAGTAAAGAAAATGAAAGAAAGAATAAGAAAATGGAATAAAATAAGATTTAAAGATAATATATATTTAAATAAAATGTATTGAAGTGAATTGTAATGGAATGAAATGAATGAAATAGAGTGAAATAAAATGAAATGAAATGAAATAAAATATAATAAAAATAAAATAGAATGATTTGGAATAGAATAGAACAGAATTGATGAATATAGTAAAAAAGAATGAAGTCACGTGCCCACAATCAGCCAATCATTTTACTATGATATAAGTCATCTTTTATATAATGTATATACTATTTTATGAAGATGGTATGATAATGATCTCTATCTCTTTGTCTGTTGTAGTTGAATGACATGGAGACGTTTGCCCAACTGAGTACATCCGTTTTAAAAAGCGGGGTCCCCACGGAAAAGGCTAAACTACACGGGTATATAATCTGTAATTCTTTTCCACCATTGTTAATTTTCATGCTACAAGGCGGTTGATGTTTCTTTGAAGCCAAAAGCTAGAGCGTTAACTCAAATATTATCACAGAGTTAATGGCCTTCTGGCTCCAATCACACATAGGTCTCTTTCTATATCCCTCAATTCTTCTTCATCTACATGCATTCTCATCTTTCTAGCTCTCGCCCATCCCTGGTTTACTTCGAATCATCGGGTCTACGTGTCAGGTCGGGTCGCTTGATCGCGTCACACGACCTTTCGTGAAACAAAACCGGAAGATGACGCGACCTTTCGTCGATTTGCCGTAGGGTTTTCACAAAGTTCCGGGTAAATGGGACCAGACTATTTGTAGATAAGAGGGGTTTATATCACAAACATTACCCCCGACATTACGTGAATAAAGCGTCATGTTTTAAAAGGTCGCGTAACGTACGCGACCAACCGACCCGACGCGATGACCAGATGAATCGAAGTAAGCCCCCATTCCTAGATCTTTCCCTCTTCCATCTCGTTGTCCTTTCCTTGGAAACACTAAACAAACTTCATGATTACCTTTATTTATCAATACATTTTAATTCTCATATTTTTAGCAAACACTCTCACATTCTACAGCTATCCGTATATGACACGCTGTGGAACTAGACAAATGGGTGGAGCAGTGGTTTGTCTCGCGTGTACTTTTTTGGGTGTGAAAACCGGTTTTACAAAAAGAAAAAGAAAATGAAGATTTTTTAAATTTAAGAAAAGGAAAAAAAGAAAATTTTGAAGCATTAGTGGTATATTTTGGTGCTTTAATATCTATAGTGCCTGTATTTCAAAATGTAAATTTACACGTCATCAGTATGTGTATAATTAGGCACATGTATGTATTATTCTACATAATAATATAACTATAATGTTCATAATATCGTTTTTTACGGCCTATCGTTAATTTGCTTTCTTCACTCCGCCCCTTCCATCTCTCTCTCCTCTTATCTATATATCTACTTCTCTCTCCCTCTCTTTCTCTCCTCTATCAATGTACTTCCCTCTCTCTCTCTCTCCTTCTCTCTCTCTCTCTCTCTCTCTCTCTCTCTCTCCAGGGTATCTCGAAGCTTACAAACGAACAGCAACGGTAGACAAACAGCAGCCTTGCGTCTCGGGCCAATGCTCCTCCAAACACCGTTCGAAATTACTGAAAATACCGGTGAGAATTCATTCATTATAACGTTGAGGATTGTAATCATGTACATGCAACATGAACAAGTGGAACGTGGCAACAGTAGTAGTAGAAGTAGTAGTAGTCAGGCGCGTACGCAGGAGGGGGGGGGGGTTGAACCCCCCTCCCTTTTGGTATTTTTATGTGTATAAACCCCCCTAAAAAAAACCAACCCCCCCCCCCCTTTGGTTTTTTTTTTTTTTTTTTTTTTTTTTAATAATAAAAAAAAAATCCCATGGCTGACCTAAAAATGGTGACCTTACCCCCCCCCCCCCCCAACGGAGCAAAATGTCAAATTTTCAAATTTCGAGACCAAAAAAAAAAATGCCCTCTTACCCCCCCCCCCCCCCCCCCCCCCCCCCCCCCCCCCCCCCCCGCTTATTCAGCGGCTGGCTGAGTCGATGCGAAATTTTCGGCCTGATTTAAAAATGTTAAACCCCCCCCCCCCCCCCCCATACGCGCCTGGTAGTAGAAGTAGTAGTATTAGTAGTACTTGTAGTAGTAGTAGTAGAAGAAGTTGTTGTCATCGTCGAAATATTATTAGTAATAAAGTAGTAGTAATAGTAGAGTTAATATAGTAGTGGAGGTAGTCGTAGTAGTATAATGTGGTGGTATAATGTGGTGGTAATGATGATGATGATGCCTGGTGGTGGTGGTGGTTGTGGTGGTGGTGGTGATGGTGGTGATGATGATGATGATGATGATGATGGTGATTATGATGATGGCGGTGGTGGTGGTTGTGGTGGTGGTTGTGATGGTGGTTGTGGTGTTAGTGATGATGGTGGTGATGGTGGTGGTGTCAGTAGTCTCAACATCTGTACCACTCTCATTATTCAATTCTCACATCTTTTAATACAGATGCAAAAGCTTTGCCTATTATTGGAATAGATGTCTTAAGGAGATGCAGGGTAAGTTCTTTTGTTACTTATTTTTTAAACATTTTTTTCTTGACCACGATTCATATTCAAGACCTTTTTAAAATGTATTTTTGGTTTTTACTAAGTTAGGGAGGGGGTACACAATTCCCCCAAAATGCAATAAATATATGAAAAAAAGTTGGCACATTGTAACGAATAAACACAATCAAAGAGACTTTAAAAAGTCAACAGCAATTTCAATTGCTTTTTCCACCACCTTTATAAATTTATATTTTGGAAGTCGTTGTGATCGTGTTTACAATTCATTCAAAATTTCAAACAAGAAAAAAAAAAAAAAAAAAAAAAGGACAAAAAGATATCACTTATTTCAAATAAATTTCTTCTCACATATAAATCTTGTATATTTCAGGTACCGTATCCAAAATTTTAACTAAACAAGAACAGACTAAGGAAATATATTTCTGACTTGGTTAACCTAAACATTGTTATTTTTTCCCCAGGGAGTGGAGCAAGTGCAGTATCATGCGCGGATTAGCAATTGAATCCAATGACTGGGGTAATAACAATTAACATGTAAAAAGCACTTAGAAACGTATTATTAAGCGCTATACAAATGCGACTATTATTAATATTATTACTTTTCTTTTTCATTTATGCAACGAACAGTGTGTGATCGACTTGGACCGGTCCATTTTAAGAGTGGGTGGAGCTCTCGGCGGATCCATTCCCCTCCTTTCAGAAGATGATGTTTTCCACGATTCCAGATTGGTACGGTCCATGTCATCATTGATCTGACGTACAAGACGGACGCGTCGGACGATACCATCTTGTCAAATGGGGGTGCGCTCATGACAGCATTCGTTTGAGAACTGAATTTTCCATGCAATGGAATTGATCAAACGAAATCGTTGGCGGACAACTGTTATCAAGCCTACATGGATCCGTTTCATCGATTCTTTGAATGTGTAACTAAAAATGGAGTCATCTTATTTTTAAATTAGCTGGTTTAAAATGTTTAATATGAAAGGGTGCACATAATGTTGTAAATGCAGGTCAGTTGTAACAGATTAATCGTATGTGTAGATAATGTTTTGATAGGTTGCACATAAGGTGAAGTATATAAGAAAAAGCAAATGTTTTTGTCTGGGTTCTCATTAACAATATGGAGTAGTTCTTTTACATTTTATATTTACAACAAAGCTTTCATAGCTAATATATATGTATATTTCTTCTTTAAAAAACACCCCCAAAACAAAAAACAAAAAAGAGGGGAGATAATGATATCATGTAAGATTACTCATCCCTGTCCTTTTTTTGGTTTAGACCACGTGAAACAAAAGAGAGTATAAACCAATCAATTTATGTATTGATATAAAATCTCTTCATTTAATTTACAAACAAATAATCATGTAATTGTTGCTACTTATTCCCTTTACATCAATTTGAGTACAATTTCTCTGAAGTGTACTTCAGTCTTTCAGGTGACACTTCCAACAAATGTTCTCATGAACAAAACCTTCAATCGACAATTGTTATATTCACAGATGCATAAATAATGATTTCAACAACAGAGTAACTTGCTTTCATTATCAAAGAGTAAGGTACATGCATACACTTGCTACCAGGTCTAAAAAAATAGATGTTGTATTGCCCTTTGCGACCGACCCGAACATTTTGAAATCGACGGTCGGCTTTTAAAAAAAGGTTGTTCTTTTTTACCGTTTTTTAGGAAAAAAATGGATTAAAGCATTCAAAACTGAGATATATCAGCCCAAAGAGGGAGGTTAAAAAAAGAAAAAAAAGAAGAGATTCCTGCCCGACTGACCCGTGTTTTGGCACGTAAAGGGCAATACAACATATTTTGTTTTATGCCCTATAGACCAGTTTGTAATTAGCTTGTGGTATAAATGACCCCCAAATATCCACAGATCTTTAAACATGCACACGTCCTACTTCGTGTATTTTAGAATAATCACTGCCAAAGTGTTGGAGGTACTTCATGAATACCTTTGTTTGTCCTCTTGTAAAGAATTTGTACCTGTGCGTCAGAGAGTATGCCTTCAGTGAATAAAGGATGGGTCTCAGTGGGTTTTACAATTTAGGTACAGATGACCTTTATCTGCCCATGCGCAGATACGACTTAGCTTTAATAGTCATATTAAATATAATTTAAACATATATCACTGAAGACCATTGTTTTTGCACATTATTCTTTCCATTTCCAACACAATCGCTATTTTCTTGTCGATATGTGGATGATTGCGTTTTATATATATAATGCTGTATATTAGGTCCATTATTTTCAGTGTAAACTTACATTCAAGCTTTAGCATTAGGATTGTAATGTATGTTTGTTTTATTGGTAAATAGTTATTAAAGTAGTGCAATATAAATAGATTTTGGTACTAGGATAAAACATTTCTACTTCTTTAACTGACCTCTAGGGAATTAACTTTTCTTCCTTTTTTTTAAACTGCATACTCACAAAAACAAGAGGAAAGATTTAGCTGGAAAAGTATATTAAAACTCTATTGCAGGTTATAAATATACGTATAGATGTGTTAACGCACTTGTAATCTGCCTTATTTTGTGTCTTGCACTCTGCCTATCCAAGTCATATGTAATTAAATTAAATGCATGTGTCTTTGTTAAAAGCCTCGTTACAAATTATTTCATACACTTGCTAAAAATAATTGAATTTCAATAGTCAGAATACAAATTGCATATATATCATGTGTTACTAAATAGGGCAAGCCATAATGTTTGGTCTACCTATTCACAACTAATATGTATGCAATTTGCATTCTGAGTATTGCAATACATTCATTCGTACCAAGTGAATGTAATAGACCATCGCTAGGTAAACACGTATAAAATTGAATACATTTTGAAAATGGTATATTTACAGCCATCTTTTGTATATAAAAGCCTACCATGTGCTCAAAAGTTTAAGGTGTATCTTTGTTATCTGCTCTACAGCACTTGTAAATACGCATTTGGGCGAACTTTCTGCAATGAGGGATTTACTTGTATATTCTTAAAGTGCTTCTGTGTACATTGAAATAAAAAAAGAAATATCTAACAATTTCGTGATCAAATTTTGTTTCTTTATTCCTGTCCTATCTCATTTCTTTAAACTATGCTGAAATAGGCAAACACTTTTCTGTATGTTTTTGGCATTTTTTTGTTGTTGCTTTGGAGTGCTAAACCTTGAACATTCTGAAGAGATAGGTTCATTTTTATGCAGCTAACATGATCTAAATAAAGATTTGCTAATAGTCTTCCATAGCAAATTTTAACTACAGTCAAACTTGGTTTAGTGACCACCTGTCTACAAAGACCACATTTTTTGTTTCCCTTGAAAATGGCTTCTCATTGAAACATGTACTAAAGGAACCTGTAAATAAAGACCACCTGTCTATAGAGACCACTTTTTTCTCTCTTGGGTGGTCTCTATATACAGGTTTCACTGTATATTGATATCATCTGTTTGGAGCCAGAAGGATGTTAAGTCTGTATAAAAGATATAAAGCATGAACTCCCGACTCCAAATTATAAGATTAAAATCATTGTTTTCTCATAAAGAATGGCAACTTAAAACTGCACCACATTACATCTATTCATCGTTTCATCTGGCCTACACGACAGGAGTTCCTTGGTCCTGGAGACTTTCAACTTCAAAAAATGTCCATCTATTCTCAACAAAGATAAGAAATTGCTGGATCGCCTCGAATTCAAATTCTTTCACCATTAAATTTCCTTGCATGTCAAAATGTTCATGTGAAGGAATAGGGAGAAATTTTTGTTCCCCCGATTTCATTTTCCACCTCATTTCCTGGCTGCTACAGAGTTGAGCTGGTCCCTGATTTTGCCTAACCCATCTAGCTCACCTTGAAGTCAAATTCTCTAAGCCTTCACTTTCCTTGCATGTCAAAATGTTCATGGGAAGGAATGGGGAGAAATTCCCCTTTCCCCAGTTTCATTTCCCACCTCACTTCCTGGCTGCTACAGAGTTGAGCTGGTCCCTGATTTTGCCTAACCCATCCAGCATGGTGTCTAATTTCTCCTTACTCAGCTCCACATTGAGGGTGGACATGCCTGGCATGAGATGGGAACGGGATGCGGTCTCCTCAATCTGTTATACAAGAAGAAAAGTGATATTAATAATAATAATAATGATAATAGGCATTTCTATAGCGCCATCTGTCTAGATAATTCTATTCTGAGGCACATTTATTATTACCCCGGCTTTAGCCTAGCTGCCATTACAGCGCTCCAGCATTTCAAGGAATTAATTCCTGCCAGGTACCCATTTACATTACCTGGGTTGAGTGTGGCAAATGGAGATCAATGTCTTGCCAAAGGACATTAGTGCCGCGGCGGGACTCGAACCGCGGACCTTGTGATCGAAGGTCCTGCGACGTATCCACTCGACCACGACAACTCTACTGTGTGGACAATGCTGCTATGACAGTCCCATTGCAACACTAATGTCCTTTGGCAAGACATTAATCTACATTTGCCACTCTCCACCTAGGTGAAATAAATGGATACCTGGTAGGAACAAATTCCTTGAATGCTTTAGCGCCTTATTATGGCAGCTCAGCTACAGCCAGGATAATAATATGATACCTTGTATCAAGCCCAGAAGAGCATAATCATACAGTAGCTGCGCTATAAAAGTTGACCTATTATTATCTATATATATATATATAATTACACAAAAACCTATTCCCAAAGCAAATTGGTTCTGACATAGTTATTTTTCACTTTTTCTTTATCTTTGGAGTATGCAATATTTGGTGATGGTAGTTTGATCAAAGGATAGATCTCTATCAAAGAATAGTTTGCATAAAAATGTAAACAATACGTGTAATCATCTCTAGGATGCATATTTTCTTTAGAGAAAATCTCAAACAGAGAAAATGTGAGAGGTATTCAAAAGGAATGTAAGTTGCCAATTTGCAGTGGACTAATTACAATTTCATGACTTTCTTATTTGAGGATTTTCCTCAAACTTTCCCTGATCTGCTTATCTCCTTTTTTCTGCTATTTTACTGCTTTTATATTTAAACAGATTTAATATCAGGGTAGAATTCAAGAGGCCTTTAAAGGGACAGTTGAGCTCTTGTTTAAGACTGCAAATGCCTTCAAAGTGCATGGTTTTTGCTCTTATTCATATTTATGAAATTTCAAGTGCCCATTTTAAAATTGCTACAAAGGTAATTTTAGACCCCAAAATGTGTGAAATTTTGATTTAATTTGATCATACCATTCAGCTCAACTAAATACAATGACTATTAATTTAATAATTTAATGATAATAACCAACACGAAAAAACCAGCAAAAGCCAACATTGGCATTGGCTGGAATAAAACATATAAGGCGCTATCTCATTTTCTCAACAGCTGGTTCAAAGTTCTTGAATATCAGTGGGGCCCCACAAATATTAGAAATACTTATTTTATGGATATTCCAGCCGTCTCTGAACCTATTTTGATCAAACAAAGATGATATTGTCATTTAAATTGTATGCACTATCAAATGTGACTCGGTTTATCATTATCTTTTTTTGTGTGTAGCGCCCTCTATACCATAATTCAACAATCTCTTTAAGAGGCCTTACATAGAGACTTTTTTTCTTCTCCAGTATGACGTACCTGTAATTGAAGGATACATGTTGGTACTGACATTCTGGCTAAGGTATCGGAAGAAGTCTTGATGTCTACTCTCCAATCAAAGTCTACCAGCTTGGGTTGTGATACTGCACAAAATAACAGAATAAATAACAATCACAAATGTTACTACTAACTAAAACAGCAATAGTGGCAGTAATATAATGAGAAGGATGTCAATATATCAAGAGAATAATAAACTTTTTAAAGGTAATGATGTGTAAAGTCTATGATAGTGATGTTGATAAAATAATGACGATGATAACGCCATCGATAAAAAAATAGTAAGGATGATGATTACAAAAATGACAATAATAATAATGGCAAGGCATATTGACAACAACAAAATGAATGTGATGATATATAAGTTATGATAATAATCAGAATAAAGATAATGATACTGATAAAGTTAACAATGACATTGTAACAAGCAAAGTAATTATCAAACATCTCTGTATAGTTAAAGAAAGATGTACACTATTAAACACAACTAAATCTAACGTGTCTTACACCAGTATGCTCTATGAAGATCTTTCAATAGAAAGAGAGAGGGGGAGAGAGAGGGAGAGAGAGGGAGGAAGAGAGAGGGAGAGAGAGTGATGTTGAGAGAGATAGACAGAAAGACAGATAAAGAGAGAGAGAGAGAGAGAGAGAGAGAGAGAAAGAGAGAAAAAGGAGAGATTTAATAGCAAAATAACATCTCATTAAAAACAACAACCCCATTATTAAAAACTACAATCATAATTTACCTTTGTTTTCTATTGCTACTTGTCTCCATTTGTCTCTGAAAAAGAGATAAAAAGACAATTTGTTAAAGATGTTACATTGGAGGGGAAATCATCACAAACATAAATATTTTAGACACTGTTAAAAGACATGAAATCATCCCTAAACCTATATAAAATAAATTGATGGTTAGTGATAAAACAACATATAGAGAAATAATTCATTTAAACTAATTTAATACACAAAAATCTACATCTTATGGCTTCAACAAGCACATGCATAATTTCTGGTATTCTACATCACCACAGAATTCTTTTACTGCATTCCAGTACATAGTTTTACATCTGGAAATCATAAAAGTAAATAAGCATTGAAATCTATTCATAAAATGAGTTGTACTTTATAATTAAAAATAGGCACATGAACTTACAATTTGTCACCTATAATTCTTGATAGAAGCTCCTTCAAGTTTTTGTGAAAACCAGCTACAGGAACAAAATGAAAAGAAAAATATTTAATAATAATAATAATTTAATAATAGCCTAATAGTCCACTCCAAATTTTATTAAACCGAAACGGAAATTCTTTTCGCCCAATTGATTGTGAGCCCGGCAGCCACTGAGCAGCGCCAGATCGACGTTGCTCTATCCCTTATTGTTGAACGCCAAACAAGGTAGCAACAACTCCCATCTTTTAACGTCTTTTGGTATGACGCAGCCGGGGTTCGAACCCACGACCTCCCGGTTGTGAGGCGAACGCTCTACTTACTGAGCCAACACTCCTGTGTTTATGGCGGATAATCAAGAAAATTACTGAAATCAAGGTGACATTCATTATTAAACAAAGAAACCAAGAAGAACAACAACAACAAGAACAACAATGTAAAAAAACACTAGAAAATCAAGATACAAATATTTACATTTTTCATTGATACTACAGCAAATTAAGCTCTACATCAGCAACTGAAGATTTCAAAATACACTGACATTATATTTAATGAAAATCAAAGGCAATCAGATAGTATCTTCACAGGCAAAATCATTACCGGTACTTCTGTTTTGTTAAAATGACCCCAACCCCCCCCCCCCCCCCCAACAAAAAAAAAAAAGAAGATAGCTAGCTTTGATTCAAGTAAATCAAAATGACAAGTGACCTTTGACCTCATGACATACCCAAGTCATGCTGTTCCCAAGGAACTTTCTCATTGAAGAACCAAAAATATGGACAATATCCTCTTTGGTGACTTACCCGGGAAAACAGCATGAACAGAAGTAGCATCTGTGCAACCGATGTAGAGCGCATGCTTGATCACTTTCCTTAGAGTCTCTAAAAGCTGTATAAAGCAAGAACAAAAATAATCTTAAAGTTAATCCTATGAAGACATTATACATAAAAGCAATTTTTGTAAGGGCATTTCACCTAAGTACTTTAAAAAAAAATACCAAGGGCTAATTCTCCTCAACAATGATACAGACAAGGGTAATACATTAAGTTACTGTGCACTTTCGCCCTGTAAATATGTTTTGGTCCTCCTAAACCACCCTCAAGAAATGCCACATGACCATATTTATCTTAATGAGAATCAAGGGTAAAGAAGGGACCTGCTGACAACCCTGCATGGATGGTGAGAATTTGTTTGAAGGGGGGTGGGGGGGGGGTGGAAACAGCTTGGGAAAAAGAAGACCTAGGAAAAGATGGAAATAATACCATGTGAAATCTCAACAAAGCTCCTGAAAGAGAATGAAACAGATTAACAGAATTTGTTACAAACCATTTCATGCCCCGTCCCACCCCTCTTTACACTTCAGTAAATTTGTAGCCCTAATAAGCTGCCCCTACCCTTCAAATGCAATAATCTTGGTTATCATTTCTTTACTTCTTCCTTCGTTTTTTTGTCAGAGAAATGTAGAGTAAAAATCTCAAATTATAATTAAGGGTTTTCAAAATATAAAACGACTTTTAAAGGGATCTGGTAACTTTGTCTCAGATTCTGAAATAAAATTCTGGATTTAGCTCATGATGCAATGATAATTATACACCTTTAGGTCAGTCAGGAACCCCATGACTTTTACAAGCCGATCGCCTGTCCGATTATCAAGATATTTATGATTGGAATTACAAATTTTGAAAACCGTTCGCCTGACGATTTTTAATTAACACTACAGTCTATTGGGGAAAACGAGTATGGTATAACCGGTCACTCAAAGATTTTTACTTTTTTGAGGCACTTTTTGATCATTTTGAAGCGCGATTTTTTTTAGGGCTTCAACGTTACACCATATCACAGACACTGATAACATGTAGGACCGTGTATCTCAGATTTAACATTGTTAAACGATGCCTTTAACTGACCTTTTCCGCATCTCGAACATTGATTCCTAGCCCATCAGCCGTCTTTCCTATGACCTCTATCGGAAAGGAGAGGACATTGTGATAGAGGAAAGCATGTTCACACGCATGCTGAACAACATCCTTCCCACTGGCCTGCATGAAGTGGATGAAGTGTGGATGAAACATGAATGAACACAATATTAGAACATGTTGGTAATAGTGTTGGATGTACATGTAACTGTCAAAGGGACCCTAATGTGTCGGAAATTACTACAGTAGGCCTACTACTACTACTACTACTACTACTACTACTACTACTACTACTATCAATAACAATAATAATTATAATAACAGTAATAATTAATGATAATAATAACAATAATAATAAAGAAAATAATAACGGTAAACAGCTTTAAAGCCAGACTTGACAAACACTGGAAGAAGGAGCAATGTAATTCACCCTTCTCCCAGTAGACACTCCAATTATGACAATCCTGATATGACCCAGCAAGCAAGATACAGATGTAAAAAGACTATGGTGCAAGACCTTGAAGCTGGGACATCCCCCCCCCCCCCCCTTTGAAGTTAGACCTGGAAGCTTGGCAGCTGGAGAGGGCTTTCTTCAACAAGCTTTGGTATTCAAGGTATTCAAGGTATTTAACAACGATATCATCAACAACAACACCAACAATTTTAGTGGGTTCTTGTATATAGTACAGTGTATTAGGACATATTTCATACACTGATTAAAGCAAGTATTTGCAATCCGTTTGTTGTCATGCCCAGTGATTTATCTCAGATCCATGAACAATTGTGAGGGAATACGCTAAATTGTTCTTGAACTTAATTTTTTTTGGGGGGCAACCATATTTTATTCCAAGAATAAATACAGAATAATTATTATTATTATTCTCTATTCAGCAAAACAAAGTGTATACAAAAGAATTACATAGAAGAACAAATCATACAAAACAAAGGATGAAAATCATTAAAAAAAAAACACAATCGTGATTCCCATGAGCATTTTACAAGTTGCCAGAAATGGGGCAGCCTAGGCTTGAACACATGTACACTAACGCGGGTGTAAGTGTAGTATGAGGTCTACATATTTTAATGTGCACATAACTGTAGAAAATGAGGTACAGAGTTGAGTACGATGGACCCAGTGAATAGGTAGCCTTGCTAGATTACAGGAATCTCAAGTAAAATGTCATGAGCGAAACCGGTACACATTATTTGTTTGTTATTTGTCATCAATATTGAGTGGTTAATATTAAAAGTTTAGTATGGTAGCCAAAGCAGTTTTTCCGAAAATGTTGCGTGAATGTGCTGCAGAACAGTGTTGCCCAACGTTATACACAGGCAGGATAGTAATGCTGCTATGTGTGCTTCAGAGACGGAGTGAAAATTCAGTCGAAAAATATGAGCGCACAGACACACACGCAAAATTAGTCACGCTCACAGAGTCACAGTCACAAGTCACAGACACAGCTCAACTTAGCCTAGGATAAGTATTGGATTAAAGCTTTAAGTGCCATCCACACTAGTGGACTCTACATCTATTTTTGATAAGAGCTCAAAGTTAAAACAAAACAAGTCTAGCCTGGTTATGTAGATATAACTCAGGAAAAGGCAGCACGAAATTGTATAGGTGGGACTGATCACATTGATAAGTCAATAGCTTAAAGTACATTTCTAGCGTATGGCTAAGGATTACGCTCTCATAAGCAATTACCTTTAGAAGAAAATTCAGATGTTGAAACTCAGTGTCTTGGTGTACTGCCATAATCTCGTTGGAATTCTTCAAATATCTCGAAATAATGGGAAAATTGTTTTCCGATTAATTTTGATCACCTGACATACACCTCTTTTTCGCTGCTTCTCTGCGTCGAGTGTGCATTCAACGCAAAAATTTCTTCCACGTATTCACGAGGAACGGTACGCTGACTCCCGATTCAAAGTGAGAAACCCAAGCGCAGGCGAGTACTTAGCTCCATGGATATTCTGCGTACACCCCCCCCCCCCCCCCCCCCCCCCCGTTTTTGAGAGATGATAGTGTTTAATTACATTTGAATTACCGGCCACTTCTTCAGAATTTATGCACGTTACAACAAGCATTGATGTTTTGATTAAAAACATAAATATACTGTAAGTAAACAATGATAGTTTGATAAGGAAAATGTTTGAGATCAAGAAAAGTCACATGGGCAATTTCAGCGTCGATCAGCAGACATGACATTTTACATTTTGTTTGTTATTATTGTGTCGTAAAACGTGACTATAAGACATTAGGCCACTTAATAGCTGAATAGATCATGGACACTATTTTAAAGAGGCACTTTTTTGTTTGGCCCCCGAATCAGATTTGCAAATCGCGCCGGGGGAGGGGGGGGGGGGGGGGGGGGGGGGGGGGGGGGGGGGGGGGGGGGGGGGGGGGTGGGGGGGGGGGGGGGGGGTAGAGAGCACTAATGTTTTGTTATGCCCTCGAAAATTTAAAAAACGCACCACCCACCTTGAGCACCAGTGGGAAGGGGGGGGGGGAAAGATGACCCTTTTTTTTTGGTCTCGAAATTTGACATTTTGTTCCGTTGGGGGGGGGGGTGAGGTCACCTTTTTTAGGTTAGCCTTTGGCATATTTTTTTTATTTATTTCACAGAAAAGGGGGAGGGGGTTGCTCCAAATACACACATAAAAAACCGAAGGGGGGAGGGTCAACCCCCTAACCCCTCCCCCCTTCCGTACGTGCTAACTTGTCTGAAAATAGTTTTTCCCCTCCCGCGCGAAGCGCGGAAGCTTTTACGTTTCATTAAATCATTAGAAAAAGAAGACGATTCGTTGTACAGTATTTTACTCTTAATCCTCGTCTTAATTCATCCCCCTCTCCCGCGCAAAGCTCGGAAGCTTTTATATTTCATTAAATCATTAGAGAAAGAAGACGATTCGTTGTACCGTTCTCAACTCTTAATCCTCATCTGAATTCAGTTTTCCCCTCCTCCCTCCCGCGCGAAGCGCGGAAGCTTGTACGTTTCATTAAATCATTAGAGAAAGAAGACGATTCTTTGTACCGTTCTCGAAAATAATCCTCGTCTGAATACAGCTTTTACGTTTCATTAAATCATTAGCGAAATAAGACGATTCGTTGTACCGTTATGACTTTTAATCCTTGTCTAAATTCAGTTTTCCCCCTCCCACGCGAAGCGTGGAAGCTTTTACTTTTCATTAAATCATTAGAGAAAGAGGAAAATTCGTCGTAACGTTCTCGACTCTTAATCCTTGTCTAAATCAATTCCCCCCCCCCCCCTTCCGCGCGTAGCGCGGAAGCTTTGACGTTTCATTAATTCATCAGAGAAAGAAGACGATTCGTTGTACAGTATTTTACTCTTAATCCTCGTCTTAATTCATCCCCCTCTCCCGCGCAAAGCTCGGAAGCTTTTATATTTCATTAAATCATTAGAGAAAGAAGACGATTCGTTGTACCGTTCTCAACTCTTAATCCTCATCTGAATTCAGTTTTCCCCTCCTCCCTCCCGCGCGAAGCGCGGAAGCTTGTACGTTTCATTAAATCATTAGAGAAAGAAGACGATTCTTTGTACCGTTCTCGAAAATAATCCTCGTCTGAATACAGCTTTTACGTTTCATTAAATCATTAGCGAAATAAGACGATTCGTTGTACCGTTATGACTTTTAATCCTTGTCTAAATTCAGTTTTCCCCCTCCCACGCGAAGCGTGGAAGCTTTTACTTTTCATTAAATCATTAGAGAAAGAGGAAAATTCGTCGTAACGTTCTCGACTCTTAATCCTTGTCTAAATCAATTCCCCCCCCCCCCCCTTCCGCGCGTAGCGCGGAAGCTTTGACGTTTCATTAATTCATCAGAGAAAGAAGACGATTCGTTGTACCGTTCTCGACTCTTAATCCTTGTCTGAATTTCAAATATGTTCTTTGTCTATTCCCTTTTCTTCCTACGTCCTCTTCCTTTACACTCCTCTCTTTTTTGGCCGGCGTTTATTGGGGGACCACCCCACCGCCCCCCTGGCATATTGATTTGATTCGATTTGATTTGATTTATTGGTTTCTGCATCTTTTTTCTTTTTTTCATCATTTTTCATGAACATAATATGGCTTGATACAATATTTCAAGTGTATATGTTGATACCTTGTCCGCCCCCGAAGCTCAGGGGTTTAAGGTTTTAATTTACGGTCAGATTAGCATTCAGGGGTCCGCCTTAGCGCCCTAGACGGGGTCCAGGGGGCAGAGCCCCGGAAGTTCAGGAGTTTAGGCATTTAATTACGGTCAGATGAGCATTATTTTGATACCTAATTGTTTCAATGGCAGGTCAATAATTGGCTTGGGGTTCAGGGGGCGGAGCCCCGGAAGCTCAGGGGTTTTAGGCGTTTAATTACGGTCAGATGAGCATTTTTGATACCTTATTATTTGTGACACTAGCAGGTCACTATTTGGCGTGGGGTCCAGGGGGCAGATCCCCAGAAATTAGGGGTTTTAGGCATTAAATGACCATCATATGAGCATCTGAGGGCCCGCCTTAAGGCTCTACGTGGAATCCAGGGGGCAGAGCCCTTAGGATTTTAGGCATTAATTTTAATCATGGTCAGATGAGCATATTTTGATACCCCATTATAATGTGACACTGGCAGTTAACTATTCTTTCTCGCTCTCTTTCTTTCTATTTCTCTTTAATATACTTTTTCAAAGAAAGTGTGGGGGAGGGGCTCGAGGATTCCGATCCCCGCCGTTCCGCGGGCCCTGATATGTAGGCATCTCAAAAAGCATTTTCTTGCCTGGCTGTAAATTTAGGAATTTGTCATTTTTCAACAAACGCATGAAGTGAGGAAAATTATCTCATTTCAGCATTATTTGTTAACCACCGTTATAGAATTATAAATAAACCACGTTTGAATTCTATTTCTCCAACCCCCCCCCCCTCCCCTATCAGTATGCCAGTGCCCCCCCCCCCCCCCTCCGATCTACACCTTGTTGGCGGGAAAATTGCAACTGATATCCCTAACCTTTCTTCATTCTCTTTTTTTTTCCTTTCCCTTTCTCTCCTCTTTAACTTTCCCTTCCCTTCCTTATCTCTCTTTTAGGTTTGCTGGGGGGGGGGGGGAGGGGCACGGTCATTTTGGTCCCCAACCCGCTCCACACATTGTTGGCGGGATTAACCGCAACTGATCTCCGCTTCTTTTCTCCCTTTCCTTTTTTCTTCCTCTTTTTGTTCCCTTTTAGCTCTCCTCTTTTCCTTTTCCTTCCTTCTCTCTTTTTTAAGCGGGGACGGGGGGGGGGGGCGGAGGCTAGGGTCTTTTGCCCCCCCCCCTCGATCCACAACTTGTTGGCAGGAAAATTGCAACTGATATCCCCCTTCTTTTCTTTTCTTCTTCCTATTTTGTCCTTCCCTTTATCTCCTCTTTATCTTTTTTCTTTCCCTTTCCTTCCTTCTCTTTTATTTTTTTTATTGGGGGGGGGGGGGGGGGAGGGGGAGGGAAGTTCCCCCCCCCCCCCTCGATCGCCTTCTTCCCTCTTTTCTTTTCTTCTTCCTCTTCTTTTTTCCCTTTCTCTCGTCTTTCCCTTCTTTTCCTTCTCTCTCTCTCTCCTTTTTTTTTTTTTTTTTTTTTGCGGGGGGGGGGGGGCAAGGCACGCTCGGCCCCCCCCCCTGGATCCGCGCCTGGCTATTCCATAATTTCGATCCATTCAACATGTTTATAAGGTAACGCGTGTTTTCCCCAAACAAAGAAATACAACCCACCCCTCTAAAAATCATTACCGCTAATGGGTTAATCCAGTGAAGCTGTCTCATAATGTTTTATGCACTTTTAGCATGTTATTAGCGCAACATAATGTTCACAAACTAAATTATGTACGTCCCACTCCTCAAATGAAGTTCATCGGCGGGGTAATAATACATGCGCCTCGGAATAGAATTATCTAGATAGACGGCGCTATTGAAATGCCTATTATTATTATTATTATTATTATTAATACCAATATTGCCCGCAAGATTGCAAAAAGTTACTGTTCCAAACCAAATTCTAGTACATAATATTGCCCTTGTATAGAGTTTAAATAACAATTCGTTTGCACCCACAATGGTTGGCTTTGCATTTTGTTTTGATATCTCAAAGATAACCAATGTCATACTGGCTATTTGTCAACCCAGTTCACTCGTTTTTTTAAAAGTTCACTCTCTGAGGAAGAATAATTACGAACACCCAAACTTTTATACCAGTGCGTTCATTACTCTTAATATCAAAGAAGGTTCATAAATCAAAAGCTAAGTGTTTTGCTCCGAGGGGGTGGGCGTGGGAAATGAATTTCCCATTTTCGTTTCTGAATTATTTTTTTTCGGCATGAGAATTCGAACTCTCTAAAAAAAAAAAATCGAGTGATCACGGACGTCACTCCTCTGGAGAGTGAAAATGTAGTGAAAATAGAGTGCACATTCACTCTTTTCTTCTTAGAGAGCACTCTAAAATCAATCGATTTTCACTCCTAAACAAGTGATCACGGACGTCAATCCCAAGAAAGTGAAAATAGAATGAAAATTCACTCTTTTTTTTAAGAGAGAAGGTTTCTTTAATCAGAAAGATTTCTTTATTCCGACAGTTCATAATTCCGAAGGTTCGTCTCTCCGAATGTTCGTAATTTCAAAGGTTCATAATGATAATTCGGAAGATGAAATAGTGTTCTTACTTTAGAAAAAAAGAGAGAATTGTTCATTTTCACAACTGTTCATAATGATAATTCGGAAGATGAAATAGTGTTCTTACATTAGAAAAAAGGAGAGAATTGTTCATTTTCACAACTGCAAACTAAAAAAATAGTGAACCCTATTCTATCCTAAGAATTCGAATAAAATGAACCTTTGACATTACCAAGGGGCGGGAGAAAACGA